CAAAACTTCAATTTTTACATGTCTCCTTGTTTATGGCCTAAAAAGGTGCTTTTTACTTTTTTTCTTAAGTTAAAATTATGGATTTTTTTTATGTGATCCTAAAATTTTGAGCGTTATAAATATAAAAAAGTATAGTTTAGATGTTGGACATGAAAATGCATTAACATTAAAGGTTATGTATGCAAATGTCACTATATATATATAGAGAGAGAGAGAGAGAGAGAGAGAGAGAGTTAAAGGAATGACCGAAGGATATTATAAGAGAATTGGCCATCCCTCATGAGCCTAATAATTTGAGTACCACACCATACACTCGGGGGTAATCGAACCAGAGGGGACTTACAACTAACAAGCAGATGTCCAACCAATTGATATGAGTATGCAACACGTATATATATAAGATTCTCTAGACGCATATCTAGAAATAATTTTAATCTTTTAAAAAATACATAAATGGACTCAAATTACTAGATCGAAAAGATTACTCTACTTTTCATAATAAATTTAGAATGTCATCATTAATCCTTCTAGACTTAAAATAGAAATCTAGAAGTTTCTAAAGAATAAACCTCCAACCTACCAGAAGCCAACTCTGCCAATCTAGCATTGCTTCCAATTTAATAGTTCTAGCCTTCTTTTTTTCCCCCTAGACTAAAGCCTCAATATTGTTCTAAATATAAATTTACACAAACAAAACATTCTTTAAATAATAATGTATCTGTCTTGGGCCACGTTTGATAGCATGCCATTAACAAGATTTAACAATTTAACTAAAATCCAATCATATATAAAGAAAATTAAAAATTAAATCCAACGCTCCGTTAAATTGAATTTTCACGAGTTTTATCTATTTTCGATGTAAATATAGAGTTCGTAAACCTCATTATGAGATGGATTTATTCTGACTTCTCCTGTTCGCTCTTCAGTTGCACCTAAGTTTTTGTAAATTCAAATTTATCTGATTTGATAAATCCTATTTAACATAAATATGAATTGGAGCCAAACGCCGACTTAATGTCCCCATAATCCTAACATAAAGATTAACTCTATTCTAATTAAGCTTTAATGTATCTTACCCTCAATAACGACATGGATGTAAAATTCAGGAAAATATGATGTTATGCAGTGCATATATAAGGTTTCAAACTAGTTGAAATAGCAATAATTTGATGCAAAATGCTTCAAGGTTAACACAATTGAATTGTGTTGAGCAAATTAGGGCGAAGAAAAACAGTAATCGACACAAATCCAGAAGAACACAAAGATTTAACGAGGTTCGGCAAAGATGCCTACGTCCTCGGGAGCAGAGCGGTGACTTCCTTTTCAATATTCAGAAAAGAATATAAAATACAAGATTCAACTCTCTCAAAGACTTATGATTACAAACATGTCTATTTATAATCCTAGAGTAAGCCCTACAGTACAATATGTAATTCCCAAATTACCCCTGTACCGTATAGCGGGGCGTTGACCCAACACCCCCAACCCACATAACGTAACTTCCCGATTTGGACAGATTCTTCCGCTTCGCTCCGCTCTGCTCCGCTTCGTTCCAGCATCTGTCCCTATATGATATATGAGCCATACCATAACAAATCTTCACCTTGACGAATATACAGCCCCTTAGGAGAAAAACTACCTGGGAGTTACACTTGCACCAATGTGGGTTGGGTGTGGGTTGGGCCACGTGGGTTGGGCCACCATGCTTCTGCTGCGCCCTCACTGATCTCAACCCACTGAATTCCAAGAGACACATATATTCAATTCCAAGAGGCATCTCTTCATTCAAGAGACTCCAAATCCTGGTATTATGAGTCATACCTAACAATTCTCCACCTTGGCGAATATCCAGCCCCTTAGGAGAAAATGCATCATGAAGTTTCTTACACCGTAGTGGGTTGGGCAACCATGCCAACTAGCAACTGCTAACATTCAACAAGTTCAAGCAATTCAAGAACTTGTTGAAAATACCTGGCTTGGTCAACATACTTGTTGCATTTCCATCATATGATCCGACAGAGTTAACTCCACCTACAACTGCACTCCCCAACAGTTTATAGATAATACCATCAGGTTTCATAGCTCATAATGTCTTCAAAATTCCTTGTGCCAACAAATCTTTCACATTTGTTTGTCACAATCTGATGTTCCTTGTTCCGTCAAACTTCACTATCTCAAATTTTGCACCAGACATTACCATTCGAATTTAATCCTGCAGTGAATTTTACATGCCTTGTATGAAACAAAACACACACCACAAATAAATTCAAATAAACCTGAAATTTTCTCTGTCAATTTGCAGCAATTTCTCGCATTTTTCAGTGATTCGTGAATCAAATTTTTCACACGAAGCACCTTTCCCGTTCACACAAAAAATTTGGCTGAAATACTGCGGACACCAGCTGAACTCCACCTGTCACAATTTCTTCTGCGACAAACATGCGAACAATCCGGCTGTCGCAACTTCAGCGACAAACGTGCGAACTCCGCTACAACTACACATGCTGCAATTCCTGCGATAAAGTTGCGAACTCGCGAGCTCCCCGGCAACTGCACATGTCGCAACTCCTGCGACAAACCTGCGAACTCCGCTGCAACTGCACATGCCGCAATTCCTGAGACAAACCTGCGAACTCCGCTACAACTGCACATGTCGCAATTCCTGCGAACTCTCTGCGAAATGCACTGCGACCGCAACTG